ACGGCAAAGTTTGCGAACGCGAACTGATGTGCGAACAGGCGTTGAATGTCCGGTCTTTGGGTGTTTAGGTAACGCGTGAACCGTTGCCGACACTCTTCGTCCCTCTCGACCCACGAGTCGTAATACTGGACGCACTGTCCGTACGACACACCCGACCACAAGTCGATCTCCCGGCGCCGCCAGTGATACTCCCGTAACAACCCGTCCTCTGTGTCCTCTTTGCCTGTATTTGTAGTCAGATTTTATCATTAATGTTGAGTCAAAACTGTAAATATTTTATTAAGCAATAATAAAAATTATTCTATTTATTTCTAACAATTTATATTTGGGTGTATTTTATACAAAATTTATATTTTTAATAATATTTATAATATAAATAATATTATTAGAATATTATTATAATTAACAAGGTGAATTATTAATTGTCATTCACTAATAATTTTTGTTTCTATGTTTTGGTTCTTTATTAATGTTGAACAGAATCTTACATTTTAATAAAATTTGTTATTTTCTAAACATTATTATTTGTTTAAATAAAAAAACTTGTTTTAGTATTATAATTAATTTATTATTATTACAATTAGTATGTTTAAAAGATTTGCAATTAAAAATGTAATTATATTTTAAAATTACTATTTATATTTAATAAGTTATATAATATCTATATATAATATAACTTATTAAATATAAATAGTTATTTTAAAATATAATTACATTTTTAATTGCAAATCTTTTAAACATACTAATTGTAATAATAATATAACTTATATTTAACTGAACATTTATATAAAAATAAATAATAATATAATTCTATACATATATAAAATATTATAAACAATTATTGTATTGTTAATTACGTACCGACAATAAAATGCATTTTAACGGCATTTTCGGTACCGTCTGTCCGTCTGGTGGCCCGGACTACAAGTCCCGAGAGTCCGGCGCCCAAACACTGACCATCTAATAGAAACTCTTTGTGCAAATGGTTGGTCCTGTGATGGGTCTCAATGTCTATCACCGGTTCCAGTCTATCCATCAAACACTGTATGATTGACTCGACCTGTGCTTCGGCCATATGTTGGGCTGGCGGGTGCTGTTGACCATCATTGCTGACAATCGATGCTTCAATTGCTATTGGTTGAAATGTTGATTTATTTATTGTACATAGGTCAGTTGTTGAACTTTGGTAATCGTGAGTCTTAACGGGTTGGTCATCCTGTACTTCTACTATTAGACATTGTGACGGCTCTACTATGTATTCAGTGCCAGTACTAAACTCAAACACATATGGTTTATCTACCTGTCCATTAATACTATGATTTGTAGCTTTAATATCATCAACATTAACTACATGTCCATTAACAACTTGGTCACTATTAATGTTTTCATAATCGCTAGATGTAGTCAATGATTGTTCGGTCGACGTATTATTTAACTGTTCATTTATCAACTGTTTGGCCGTCAACTGTGCCATTGTATTGAAGTGGTTGTCATAACCGCTGGCCCTGTATTTAGCGCTCAGAAAATGCTTAACAAACTGAGTGTTTATGTCATACGATGTGTTGTCAACACTGATTGTGTCGGTAATCATCGCCCGGATCTCACTGTCCATCGGTTGCATCCATTGGTCTCTAATGTATAACAAGTCTATACACGAGTGACGGACAGTACTTATGCCAGTCGTTAGGTTTAAACACATGTCAAATATGTTGGAGTATTTCTGATTGAATGCATCCGTACTGTAGCTTATGATGAGAGAGAGTGAGTGAGTGAGAGAGAGAGAGAGAGAGAGAGAGA